ATTTGAACCTTATTTTGTAATGATAAAGTTATTTTTTCAAGTGTATTTATTGCATTGAACAATAGCCGTAGTAAGGCTGTTTGGGTGCGCGTTGTATTTATTTCGTTGAAACATGAATATTTGCATATTAAATTCAACGTTGCGGAAACCATGGCTGGGCTTTGTTCCTGAAGGGTAATGTTAGCGATGCAAGTATATTTTACTTCCCAGACCCACACACTTCAACATTAATTAAATTATCATTAATGGTAAATACAGTCACAACTCTTTCCATTTTTCACTAGTTTTTATTTTATGCAACTTATAATGGCAAGCAAGCTGACGGCTTACCCGATGGAAAGTTGTACTTAGGTCATTTGTAGCATTAATATTATTTTTTATCAGATCAATACCCGTTCGCTGCTATCATTACATTTGTTTTTGTTATCGTAGTCGTTAGTAGCCGTTTGCTTTCCAACACTAGCTAATAAACAAGGGGATGTTCTCTCAGAAGTTCCCGTAGGGCTTGATTTATAGACGGAAATCTAAACGGAAAAAGACATTACAACTTACCTAAGTAGTTTTTGGACGTAATTTCGTAATGGTAAACAACGCTGGAGACTTTGAGGGTTTCATGTTTTAAGTAGACACTTTATTAATCATCAAGCTTCTTTCTGCTGGTTTATTGGAGTTGTATTTCACGTATATAATAGTATCATCATTAACAAATTGAACGCATCCTCCGAACTCATCCGGAGAATGTTGAACTGATTTAAGAAAAAATCCTACCTTGAACTTGTCCACTTATTATTTAATCTTTGCCATTCGAAGGTCATATTTATATTTTGTTGTTATTTTACTCTCAATTTCTATGTCATCAATAGAGCTTCCGGTGTTTTTATGGGCTATTTATATTGTCTCTAGACACGGCATGTTTGTGTTTCAGTTTTTGTATTAAATTTTATCATTTTATTGTAAATGTCAAATTGTTAACTTTGTTCACTATGCATTGTGATTACTATTGGTGTCTTTGTAATCTTTCTAATTATCTCACCTACTCATACAATATAACGATAAATCTTAACTTCATCAATCTCTAAGGGCCACGTTCAACTTAATCTAGTTATAATTTCCCGAAGTTTTTCCAATAGTCTTGGTATTAATATTATCTTGTATACAATATTTTGCTTGGCTAATGACGTTACTAGTTCCATTTAGTTAGACTTTTTGTTCCTTGTCTTCTCAGTTTTTATTTTAGTTCACGTATCTATTAGAAATTGATGTGATTGTTTGCTACGAACTATCTGGAAGTGTTCTTCAGAGAGATAATACGTTTGTTACGGCATATACTAAATTTATAAATATATACATTTCCAAAATAAATTTAAGATATGCATATTTATGGATAATTACATCAAAATATATCGAAACAATGAGTAAGGTTTAGTCACGTAGAGAGATTGATGAAAGAAGATTAAAGAAAGGCGTTTCCAAACGATGGCATCTGAGAAAGTGGAGAGAATCCGTCGAGTAGGTATACATAGCTATCGACCAAATTGGGAGCTCAAGGGCCGAGGTCAGTGCAAAAATAAAACCGAAGAGAATGTATGGGTATCTATAGATATGTTGAAAATGAAAGTAGCGTCAAGATTCGGATATCTATAATGTCGCGTATTTATATTTTGTATGAATGAGTGAATGATTGAGTATACTTTATTTGCATTATACATTATAGGAAATAAGCAATTTACAAACACAACGATACAATTGTATAAGTACAGTAAGGCGGTCTTATGGTGCTGAGAGCAATCTTTTCAAGACAACCATAAGTAACCTTTGTAATATTGATTGACGTAGTTTGAATTAATAAAGTTTATTTAAGACCCAGAACCCTGATGCATTAATAAAAGCGAAAGATAGATGTTAATTTTTGTTTGTACTAGTAAATCGTGTAATATAGTCAGGAATTATTATGACCTAAATTGTATAAAGAAATGAAAATTTTCTAAGGGCTAGCTTTAGGTGTCGGTTGAAAACATTGGTAGATACTAAAGGTGGATTTAGGAGATGGAAGTTAGTAGGATAAGTATGATAGAGGAATTAATGCAATTTTAACACCTTGAAGATCACAAAATGTAATGTTATGTCCGCGTGACCCCACATGCATTACCTCTCTTGAAGATATTTGATTGCATATCGTTTAGATTTTGTTCAATAAATAAATACAAATTTAAAATTATGCTCGTGAATACAAAAGATCGTTTATCTGAGCTGCTATAGGCATGTGCAAACAATGAATTTGCGCTCAATTAGCTATTTGGATCAATTCATTCATCGATTGCAAACTAAATTGATTTTATTTATTTACAATCTCTTTCAATTGGGGATTATTTAACATTATCGATTTATTTTGAACACGTATTTTCGTTTGTTTACTCATATAAGGCATCATCGTCATATCAGCCTTTAATTGTCCAGTGCTGAACAATTAGAGGGGAGTTTTGCCAGTAGTTGCCACGCTTGGCAGGCGGATTGGCTTTAAAGATATTTTAAGAGGGATGCTACTACCTATTCCTTGCCCTCCCTTAGTTGACTCTTACGTCACCCACAGCAAAAGGAATGCCCGGACCACACGGCTAGGCTAATATGAGTACATTTGATTATTTTCGATAAAGTTCATTTATTTTTTAAATAGAAACCATCGTGAAATCCACAGAACTCATGCCTTAACCCTGTGGATGCGTGTGTAAGGTCATGTATACTGATACTCTCATAGATATCTTGCAGTCCACTGTAATATTATCTCTATGTGAGATTCTTATAATTATCCGCTTTGCATTACATTGTTAGTAAATAATTATTAATAATTGATAAAGTATTTAATACAAACATTTTAAAAGCTTTGTTTAATTCTTTGCACATTATGTTTAAGATATTAAATATGCGTTTAGTTATGATTACATTTTTTTAACGGATCAGGTTTTAAAATCCGTTTGCTAAAATGTTATTCAAATATTATATATCGATTTTGTTGAAAATCCAACAATTTTGTAATTCAAATCGTGACTAGCTGTAATTGACGTGTCGCATGTTGGCGGTTGCTATTGGGTTTAGTGGCATTTCCATGCACAATTTTATCAATATCGAATGACACTGAATTAAACTTAGTTCCTTTATTTTGAGGTTTTACTTGGTATATAGTTATAATCTTGCCGTTTGGTCCCGACGTAGAATTGGCGAACCCATTCTTTCCCGTGGGTGTCGTAAGGGGCGACTAAGGGAGGGCGAGGGATGGGCAGCAGCGTCCCTCTTAAAACAATTCCAAAGTCTAACTGCGGTTGCCAAACGTAGTAACTAGTGGTAAAGTCCCGTAGGGTAGGCTTATGTTCAACAGTGGACAGTAAAAAGTTGGTATGATGATGATGTTGAAGGACGAGACGCTACAGTCGATATCGAATTGTTGTTTCTGCAACCACAAGTAGCCAGTTCCGTGCGATTCGCGAGCATAATTAGTGGCTATTGCTAAGCGGTCGCGGTGCGGCCTTGCCCCGAGCTTCACCGGACCGATTACACCAAATCAAATTAACTTCCGTGACTGTTTCGACACAGATCCCTAGTCTTTCGTGTGCATCGGCTAAAAGAGTTGCCAATAATGGTCACCTTCTATGAAATATTAATGCTCCGATATAATCAAAGAAAAGGTACAACGTATTCCATACACTAAAAGAGACGACAAACGAGCAGATTTCGCTACTCAAAAAAATTACAACCTCAAAACAAAAATGAGACCAATACGGGACCCTCTCAACCCTGTCAAATATAAAAATAGTGACGAAAATCTCTCGTCCTTACTGAGGAATAACAATACTCAGACATATTAAATTCTGATTACTAGTAAATAGAATATATATAAAATTTGTCAACGACTCCTGTAGCCCGTCCATATGTTAATATAGACGGATAGAAACATAAAGGCTTTCTTGTTGCTTTTGATTTTATCGTGGTTTCATTACTTTTGCTTTTGGTTGTAGATTGAATCGTCTTTGATTTCATTAGAAAATTTTATAATTAGGATGTCATATAAAGATTGAGAATGATGGTGGATTTCTCGTGAAGTCATGACCATGATTTTGAACTTAATAATACAAATCAACTAACTTTATTAAAAGAAAGAAAATAGAATTCTTAATAAGTGATACATTCATATATAATATCATGCGAAAATACAATACAAAAGTTCAGAAGTGTAATTTTTTCTAAGCGTATCGAAACGGAGTTTAAGTTAGTCGACCAATGTGTATATTTTTCTGTCAATAAGTTATATATATATATATATATATATATATATATATATATTGGTAAATATCTAAATTGATCAATTGAACCTATCGTTGATTTATGTACATATTATGAGTAATTGTGTGTTTGTACGTAACTGCATTTCTTTATAACGATCCATATAGATTCTTATTACGTACAATAAATTGTTTCGGAATAAATAATCAACATGTAATTTACATTTAAATTCACTCATTAAGTAGGAGAGGAGACCTTTGTAAAGTTTTATGTCATAATCGTGTTCCTTATTTTGTTCAGACTGTTTTGCTAATGCGATTTAATTTACAGTTTTTTATCGGTGTCTATTTAAGAATATTAAGTTTCATTTAGATTAATCATTTGCCTAGATTTATAAGCTGTAACAGTTTTAGTATAGTGTAGTATTACTTTCGGCTCCATAGCACCACTATGCTCTAAATGCTCGTGTGCCAGCAGTCAGGGTATGCGTGACGTGTTCACAAGGCACTCGTTTAATGCCGTACTGCAGCTTTCCGCGCGAGAAAGCTTCTATTGGAATCAGAGTAGCGCACTTAATCATTCGAGCCATTGCATATACGTGGCATTCCTCTCAAAATTTCCAGGGATCGAAGATCCTATCTACGAGCAGCCAGAAGCGTAAGTGGTGTATGGGGCTCGACTGTGGTTCTGTTTAATGGATGGATGTTTTCTCTATTTGTTGTAAGGTGGGATGCAGGGTCCGGGCCGCCGACCCCACCTGCCCTACCTCCACTTACGCCTCTGGATGTATCGTACGTGTACACATTCTCACATTTATACAATCGGTAAACCGATTCGTGCTAATGAACAGAGCTCCCTTCGCCACTACAATGTGGTTAACATTCGTCTGTAAGTATGATGTGTATATGAAACAGCTTCAATGGGAAACGTTTTTAAAGACAATTCGTCTCTGCTTCCACCAAATCATCCGTGAGATATATAGCGCTCTGTTTATTAGCATCGAGATCATTAATTATGATGTTTATGTGTTTATTCTTGACTAAAGTAAAGAGCGTGTTGCGTATTACTATTTCTGTCCTTTATTCTGGAAGTCACTGCGCCTCCATCGTGTGTAAAAATATAGCAGTCATGGAGATGATGCGTCTGTGAATCGTGAACACTGACGCTTTAGCTGTGCTCCGTAGCTCACGCCACTTCTACATCGTTTTAGTTATTTGTAGTACCGACTATATCATTTCACTCTTCTAACTTGTGTCGCGCATGTTTATTAACACGTCTTAATTCTTTATGCGTGGCTTGTAACGTGTGGCCCTTCTCTTATTCCCTATAAATCATTATTTCCCAGATTTCTATTAATGCATGTTATCCTATTGTAATTAGATCTCTGCTAAACTGTAACTGTGTTCCCATGCTTCATTTTATGTACCTTTTACTAATATTATGAAGAATTATAACCTTAAATGAATGTTTGAAATGAATAATTGTTTTTGAATATAATTATAGAGTTCATTGATCACATTCAAAAGATACAGCGTAATTTGTATTCTAAAATATATTTTGTATGGGAAAAGCCCCTCATTACTCTGCACATGTAGGACATTGTTTACTAATTTTGTAATGATATCATATTCGCAACGGTGATTTGGCAGTTGTGACGAATATCTAGATTAAATGTAAAAAATAATCATCAATCAAATAAATTATTCACCATAATTAAAAGTACATTATATTGAAAATAGAGGACACGGAGATATAACATCATTGTCCTCGGGATTGACAACGCATGAGGGGTCACACAGTATCTTGTTCGTGTCTATATATATTGGTATAGACAAAGTAATTACTGTTTCAACTTAAAAATTTAAATTTTTAAAATTAATCTTAACATTCGACACATTATACAAAGTAACGCATTACAACACCACGCTCTAAGTTTCAATCGTTCGTAACAATTGTGTTGTTATCATTCGTAACAGAAGTGTCAACTGATAAATAGATGATAGAAAGGAACGATATAAATACTATGTTGAAATTAATACGAGGAATGATGACAATGATGATGAGATACGTTATGAATAAACATGGGACGTGTAATGAAACGGTGTGCAGATTGAACGTTTGTACTTAGCAGGTGCAGCGGTAGCCCGGCTCGCACTCGTCGGGGGCAACGGTCTGCTAACAATTGCTGCTAATTCCGTACATTTACTGCGGTGTTTCTAGATAGCTTGGGATATATCTTGCAGACTATGAAGTTTATATAGATTACTGTCTGTTTAAATTCATATCCCAAGTGGGCCAAACACAATACGGGATTATTTACTCACTAGCTGTATCCTGCGTCTTCATCCTCGTGAATCGGTGTTTAAAGTATTTTATGTGCTGGTTAGGATATAATCTATCTGTGTATCAAATGTCATTCAAATCGGTTCAGTAGGTTTTGCGTGAAAGAGTAACATCCATCCATCCTTAACAAATTTCGTATTTATTATATTAAAAAGATGAAAACGCAGTTAAATTATTGTTCGTATTAAGTATTAGTTCTTTGTAAACACTTTAGGAAAAAGAATACCATTCGTTCTAGCCAATATGTTATGTTTTTGCTGAAATCAAATTTTTTTTATTCTAAACAATATCTGCAACTAATTGTGAATTCGTTAACGAAGGCATAAATATAAAAGTCACATCTGAATGTCTCCGCCAAATTTTAGATTCATGTCTTTAATTTTTGTGTTATTTTAACTGACAGTAAATACTTTAGTGCCTTAATTGCGTGCCTTCGCAAGTTTGAGTTTGACTCAAACTTGACGATGCTTTTTATAGCGTGTCGTGTTAGGTAGCATTTTTATTTTATTTGCTATAATTAGATTACAGATTGCTCACGAGTCGTATCTTTTGTTCTGGGGAAGTAACTCCCAAAGTGTGTCGACCTCGGGCGCGCCTTGACATTTGCCGAATATTTGACGGTCTTGATGTTGGGCATACGCCAGCGACACGAGTACGGTCATCGACAAATCAAATATCACGTTGATCATATTGATCCTTATCGTAACGCAATAAAGTTCTATTTGCGTATTCTTTTGTTGATACGGCAGGTTAAAATTTGTCATCGCCAGAGTGTACTCTCATGTACATGAGTAAGATAGCACTCGAGTGTCTTTCATATGCATAAAATGCTGCCTAGATGTTATTTTATTTTATGAAAGTTACGTCATATAACGATATTTTGGCAAAGTCGACAGGATGTACATTTGAATGATTTAATATTTAAATTGTGTAAACAAGTTCAAATGATGATAGTTTCTTAATTGAGTACCTCTATCCCATTCGTGTTTTAACCGTAAAGTAGTTATGTTTGCATGGCTGTGTTTCGGTTTGAAGGGTGGGATATGGCAGTGAATTTACAGGGTACAGAGGAATAACACCTGAGTCCTCAGGAATGGCAACGCATGGGGGATATCATGGGTGAAACAGTATATTCTGTTATGTCCACGGTACTGCTCATGTTTATAGGCGACGGTTACCACTTTTCATCAGGTGGGCCGTCAGCTTGTTTGCCATAATTAATAATAATTGCCTAAGTTGTATAAAAAAATCGCATTAGAGAAACTAAAGAAAATACAGCTTTTCTTTTTTCTTTTTTAGAACGGGGAAGTGAAAGATGAGTTCTGGGATAGCGTCAAAGGAAATTACATAAATTAGTTGTTTGAGGAGTGGGTGTTTTTATAGCCCATCGTAGATATACGTTATCGTAGGATATTGCTGTCATGATATAAAAAAAAAAGAAAATATAAACAACTGTATAAGAACGCTTTTAAATTCCCTTCACGGTATCTTAGCAGAAATTAAAAGATTTATTTATAGGTTCACCAACATAAGATACAGCGAAACATTTCAATACAATACACTGGCAGATTAGATCTAACTGCTCTTACATTTATAGGCAACCACAGCATGCCTTGTGTTTGATAAACATTAAAATTTTAGGATGCAAAATTTAAGATCTTAAATTTTGCTTCCTATTATATTGTGACGGCAAAATCGTACGATAACGTATGGACTGTAAAAGCGTCCATTGATAAAAATTGCAAAATTAATGAGGCTAGAGCTAGAAGTTAACGTCTGTAATCAGAAGTTATAATTTAATGTTGAGAATTTGGGGTCGAATTGTTTCTTTTCTCCTTATCGAAGGTCAGCAGTGCTGGACAGTTTGACAGTTAAACTTTGTGTCTTTATTCCACTTTATCATTGTGTGGATAACTACATACGCATATACAAACATAGTATGTTATCACTTCTAGCCATATAATTATAGTACATTCCCAATTTTATATGAATATATTTGCGTTTAGAATTAAAATTCTCAGCGACACCAAAATAAAAGTGATTTTCAATTCAATATTTTCTTTGTCAATTCTGAACTAATTTTAAAATAATTTTTTTTTTGCATTTACTGATCGTATTGGTTCCATATTAACTTTGTTAAAATCAAAGTGGCTGTCTATTTTTGCAAAAATTTTAACCAGTTTAACTAGTTACATAAAATTATTAGACAACCGAAGCGTTAAAGAAATGTCTATAGCAATTTTCCATGCAAATTATTATCATATTGAATCTCAATATTTGATAAAACATCATAAGTAGGATTACATAAATTTAATAACAATTATTAGATCGGTTTGTAAACACGGACCACTGTATGTTGCTCACTTCAACCGAAACCCGAATAGTTGCCAACTGCAATAGTGGATTCGCGAGTCAGTTTATAAACAATGACTCGTTGCAGCTAATATGTTTATAAAATTGTCTCTTCTACTGGGCTTGACCGTAAAATGTAATTATTTATTTTCACATGAATGTAAATCAAGTAATTAGTGTTGTCGATGTCAGTGTGCCAAGACCGAATTTAGTAACTTTTAGTTTTGAATAAGACTAGTTTGTCAAAATGAGCACACTTTAATGAATTATGACGATACTGAAAATATGCTCTTGTTAATCATATAAATGAAAATACTGGTCACATACATACACACACACACACACACACACACACACACACACACACACACAAACACACACACACACAAACACACACACAGAGAGACACACACCACACACACACGCATGCACACACACTCATTCATAATACTTATTTATACATGTGTATTGGTGGTGAGAGAAAGAAAAAATAAATAAATAAAATAATTGTATTATACAGATTAGTTACACAATTGTGAGTACTGCTAAAAAGCCTATGTTTAATATCTATATGCATGTATATGATAACACGAGTACTGCTTCCTACAGGACAGGCTCAGCCTAGTGTAGGAGGCAATGATAAATTCTGTGCTAATACAAACATACTTTGTTAAATAAATAAATAAAAAAAAAAAAAAAAAAAAAAAAAGAATACGAACGAACAGAAGCACACGCACACCCACTGGTTGTTGTGTAAACTGTAAACACGCGTGGAGTCGTTAACCTACGTTGCGCCCGCGCCCGCGCCTGCGCCCGCCAACACGCGCCCGCCTGCGTACGCGCCGCGGCTTGTGTGCTCTTGCGCAGTTCTAAATCCGCTGCCTGTATACCTACGGCACAGGCACTATCGTCACGGAGAGGTACAAAGGCGAAATAGTAAAGTTCACATAACTGATTTTAATAAACATTATTTGTAAGGAACAACATTACATGCGATCGCACTTATTTTCAATAGTGTTAATGGAGTTGTCGATCTGTATTATTGTTTGTACGTTTTTAGGCCAATAATATTAAACGATTTTTTATAATTCTCTTG